ATAAGATAAAATTGTCCCTTTTTTTGGGGGGGGGGGTAAAGGAAAAAGTATTTCATTCATTAATGGATTGATCCAGCAGATTCGAACAAAGACTGAAGAGGGAAAAAAAACGTATTTCAGAATTTACAAAACTGGGGCACAACAGCAGTGCCTGGAACATTATAATAGGCCTAATACTAATGTCTTATGACAAATATAATTAATTATCATCATGCTTCGCCATCTTGGAAAAGGTGTTCACACCATAACAGCTGTTGTTGTAAAAATATTTTACATAACGACTCTGCCGTTCTTTTGTTTTACAGAGACGAAAATACAAACAACTTCCGTTCCGTACATTGCAGCAAGAAATAATAGATTTACTGTGTATGCTACTTCCGAATTCTAAAGTTTTTGGAACATAAACATACGTCTCTTATTACTTCCGTTCCGTACATTGCAGCAAGAAATAATAGATTTACTGTGTATGCTACTTCCGAATTCTAAAGTTTTTGGAACATAAACACACGTCTCTTAATTTTTAAGAATGTTTCTAACGCTTAATTAAATAGATCTAATGTTCCAAAAAATGGCTGAACACGTGGAATCGTAAAATAAGCACAATATATTTAGTATCTGCCATTTGTATATCCACAGTATCTCCAGTAGATGGTGCTGTATTTTACTTTAGAGCAGTATGAAATAATATTATTAACCTGATAATTGGTTTGGTTTAAATTTCACGCAAAGCTAAATGAGAGCTATCTGCGCTAGCCGTCCATAATTTAGCTGTGAAAGACTAGAGGGAAGGCAGTTAATACCGAGTAGGTCCAAATAAAATGATGCTTGTATAATGTTATGTTTGTAGGAGATTGGTCTTTATGAAAGTAATACGGTAAATAGAACATTGTCCAACATCCTGATGCCAAATATGGAAAACAGAATTGAAGTAATCGAGTCGTGGTTCTTAGGGCGCGTCTTGAAGGTACGTTGCACAAGTCACACCTCAAGTGAAGATCTTTTGTCAAGAGCAGGTTTCATGAGGAAGCTGGTGACTGACATCAGAAAAGGACGGAGTTTCTCGGACACGTTATGAGGAAAGAAGAAATTGAAAGTTTGTACGTAACTAAAAGACTGAAAGAAGGAGAGACCGTGGAAGACAGAGATTAACTTGTGCCATGAGTAACTAAATGGATGAATCTTTCGATATTAGAAATTATTTGGGCTTCAAGGAGAAGAGATATATGGAAGACCATGGTCACCAATGTCCCTGTTTGGATATGGTACATAGAGATAGATCTGTAGAAGACCATGGTCACCAATGTCCCTGTTTGGATATGGTACATAGAGAGGGAGAGATCTGTAGAAGACCATGTTCACCAATGTCCCAGTTTGAATATGGTACTTAGAGAGAGAGAAAGAGAGAGATCTGTAGAAGACCATGGTCACCAATGTCCCAGTTTGAATATGGTACTTAGAGAGAGAGATATCTGTAGAAGACCATGGTCACCAATGTCCCTGTTTGGATATGGTACATAGAGAGGGAGAGATCTGTAGAAGACCATGGTCACCAATGTCCCAGTTTGAATATGGTACTTAGAGAGAGAGATATCTGTAGAAGACCATGGTCACCAATGTCCCTGTTTGGATGTGGTACTTAGAGAGAGAAAGAGAGATCTGTAGAAGACCATGGTCACCAATGTTCCAGTTTGAATATGGTACTTAGAGAGAGAAAGAGAGAGATCTGTAGAAGACCATGGTCACCAATGTCCCAGTTTGAATATGGTACTTAGAGAGAGAGAGAAAGGAGAGATCTGTAGAAGACCATGGTCACCAGTGTCCCAGTTTGAATATGGTACTTAGAGAGAGAGAAAGAGAGAGATCTGTAGAAGACCATGGTCACCAATGTCCCAGTTTGAATATGGTACTTAGAGAGAGAGATATCTGTAGAAGACCATGGTCACCAATGTCCCTGTTTGGATATGGTACTTAGAGAGAGAAAGAGAGATCTGTAGAAAACCATGGTCACCAATGTCCCAGTTTGAATATGGTACTTAGAGAGAGAGAGAGATCTGTAAAAGACCATGGTCACCAATGTCCCAGTTTGAATATGGTACTTAGAGAGAGAGAGAG